TATATATATAAGGCTACCTTTGAACAATGGCCTTTCTGTTCTATGTCACACGTTTGTGTCTGTGTTGTTAAAAGCTAGGCAAATAAATATGCTTCAGGAACCCCTGCTGACCTTATCAAATCCACTGTATGTTTGTTGTAAGCCTTCTGTGGGACTGCAGGTGGATCAGTTCAGCACACTCAAGAGCTCTTTAACCTGAATCCGATTCAGCCTGTGACCCTGACTGATTCACATTTTATTCTGGGGTCACGAGCACAGTTCAGTACAGCAGACACCAAAAAGATGGCTTATCTGCCGCCGTCTGTGTACTTATTCTTATTCTTCTCATGCAGGCTGATCGACATCGCCCGTAAGCTGGACAAGGCTGAGCGTGAACCGCTGGCAAAGTGTGCACTCCAATTCAAGAGGCTGAAACACCATGGCTACGCCTCAGAGACTTATTCCAAGATGGGAGACCTGAAGGCTTTGGTGGAGCTGCATGTGGAAACCAGACACTGGGAAGAGGTTTGTTGCTTAACTCAGTGTCCATGCACAAACAGTACAGAGGCTGTCAAATAACTATGATGTGAACCATGTGCAATTACTTGTAATAAACTGCAGAGGTACTCTAAATCTCATGTGTCAAACTCAAGGCCCTTGGGCCAAATATGGCCTGCCAGAGCATTTTTTGTGGCCCACAAGATCTTCAAAGATGTAGTAATGTCTTAAAAATAAGTGTATGCTTCTTTAAAGCCAACATTTCCCATAATGCATGTTAATTATTTCACCTGAAAAATAACGACATCCCACCACTAGGTGCAGGTACTACAAATTAGCCAGCAGCCGGCAAAATTCAGTGTAGAATCTCCATTTAGCTGCATTTTTGCTGGCTACTTTTGCTGCAGCCCAGTTGTACTGGGAAGTGGGAATTTCCCATTTGCAAGCCATAAATTGATACTGGAATGCCCCTCCAGTGGGAATTCTTTGTCGAAAAGTGGATGAGTTTAGAATTGAAGTTGGTGGCTACCCACCACAACTCGAGAGTAAAACTCTCTTACTTTTACTTTAATACTTTTTCTGAATTATTTTTTAATCAGTCATACACTTAATACATTTCAGAGTTTATAAGAGGACATGTCAAAATGCTGTTTCTATGCAGGAAATACCATGTAGAGCTCAGTTATAGTTTGTCAGGGCTGCTCATTCGTTGCAATGAGATGAGGAGCGTGACATTTTGTTTAGTTGAAGTTGAGCCACCATGACACTTATGTCGCCCTCAGTGAAAATGAGTTTGACATCCCTGCTCTAAATTACCACAAACTATCTGATTCATTTAGTTTTGCTCTGTTTTTGATTGAAATCAAAACAAAAATTATTGTTTGAGTAACCATAGCTGAATGCAAACATTAAGACCTTATGTTGCCTAATTTCCTCGTTCACTGACAAATAAAACCGCAAACACTCCAGAACTAATCATCAATCTTTAGATTCCTCTGATTCCAAGCCCACATGATGGTGATGATGATGAAGAAGGAATCAAAACATTGTGCTTGCACTGAAAACAGATCCGCTTGAAACTACATATTCCGCTTGCAATCATCAGGCTGGATCACACTGCTCAAACAAAAAGAAAGTGCTGCATTTCTTTAATCCATCTGCGGTTTATAATCGAGTTAAAGGCGTGGCAGATTTGCGCGTCGTTGATTTGCATGTGCAAACACCAGAGCCAAAAACAGAACATCAAATCTTGATGATATGCTTCTTGGAATTTTTATTTAATCCTCAAACGGGGAAAAAAGTCGAATAAGGAGTGGAGGGAGTGGAGCAGAGGTTTGGAGAACAGTTGGGTTTTTATGTGCATCACTCGGGGAGGTGGACAGCACCGGCCATATGGATGATCTTCTCTAATCCCACTCTTCTTTACTTCTAAGTGTTTGTTCAAATGACTTTAAACCCACAGGCCTGAGAAACACCTTTTTCCTCCAGACTGTGTGGAATGAAACACGTGTGTTTCTTGGCTCAGGTTTTGCCACAGGACAGGGAGCTTAATTAGTCACCATGTTAGGAAACGTTGTGTCCACAAGGTGCTGCAGCCGCTTTTTATATCCTGTCATTCAAACACTGCTACACTTGTAGTTGTAATTGAGTGTGAAATCAGCCTGGCTCGTACGCTCCTTTTTTTGTTTTCATCTAATTAATAATGTTATGGAAATATTTTGACTCGGGGATAACGTGTGTTTTCATGAAAAATGTGTGGTAACTTATATCCCCCCTAATCAACTACAGGTGAGCCTGAACCGCCCGAGGCAACCTGCCGCTGTTCTCCGTTTATTACTTGTCAACTGGACATTTCTGCTCCAATACATCTGATGTGTTCTCTGTCCTTGCATCTCATTTTCCAGGCCTTCTCGCTGGTGGAGAAGCACCCCCAGTTCAAATACGATGTTTTCGTGCCGTACGCTCAGTGGCTGGCTGAAAACGATCGCTTTGAGGAGGCGCAAAAAGGTCTGAGCTGCACCTTCACCTCTTAATCAACTTGTTACATTTTTTTTAAAGTGTACTTCTAGAAGTAGTTTACTTTAAGTCGGTGTTAACGTATGGAAGTGTTAAAGTCAGTTTTTTTTCTTCCGCTGGTTTCTTAAGGTTTTCCATAACCACTGTAAAACATGATCCTCTTTGCTGGAGCAGAGCAGGACATAGCTGTGCAGCCTGCTCACTGAATGACATGCATGCTTGCTTCTAATCACCACTGCTACAAGCGGCTCTGATGATGATTACCAACTGTAACCATAGTTATAATCAGCTCATAGATTTATAATTATAATCTCAGCAGGCATATTTCCTCTTCTACATAATCTTCTTTTGCTTGTCTCAATGTGGAATTTGTGACAGAACAGGTCTGATTGTATTTAGGTTTGCTTATCGTCGTGCGTTTTGTTGATTGAGACGGGCGGCATTTCAGCATTGTCATCCAAGTGATTGTAAAGTTTTGTATTCTGGTCGGTTTCATGTCCACAACAATGGTAGCAATCCCAGAAATGTTATCATTGCTGAAATCTGTTGAAGTGGTTTATTTATTCTTGGTGGGCTTAAGCCATAGTTTAGATCAGGGGTCTTCAATGATGGGTAACAGAGGTACTTTAAAGGGGTTGTGAGATTTTTAGTTAAACTTTTTTTATATATATTTTTTCAAAGTTATGTCTAAACATGAATCCAACATGTAACAAATTAATGGAGGCATAAAATAATGTATTTCAGTCAGAAATGCACACATTCAGTGAACACACCAGCTGAATTCTGCTTCATTAACAGCCTGACCCACCATGCATTCTGAGAAGGACCTGCCCCCTATACATACTGGACAGATCACGTGACCCTGCTGTGTTCACTCTGTCAGGCTCACAGTAACTGGCTGAGAGCCTATAGGGATAATTTTAGAAATATTTCTACAACACTGCAGATCCTAATGATAACAGTAACAATATATGTATATAGATAATATAATTGGGGTGGGAATATTTTACTCTCTCACATGATTTTATTAGATTCTGATTTTTGGGGCCACAGTTTGATTCAAAATTGATTTTTCATTCAAAACTGATAATGTGAGCCCATTTGTCGTGTTCCCAAAGTGCTTCATCTTCATTTTGCAAACCTTGCTCATGTCAAACTCAGACTCATTCAGTAAAAACCAAAATGAGCCCAAATCTTTGCATTCAATGAAGATGGGGCCAATTGAATCTCTCTTTCCTCCAGTTTTGTAGTTTCCTCTTTGATTTGGTGCTTTCTGCACATCCATATGTTCCACAAGCAGCTGCATGATGACGTCAGGACGTCCCATGTAGTTACAAAATGGAGGCTGACAGTCATTGGACTTTATTATTATTATTTTTATATATATAAAAATCTATTTTGTGACATTTTAAATCGATTCTGAATCTTTGTAAATAAGAATCACGATTCTAATGTAAAACGATTTTTTGGTGCAGCCCTAATATATGTATGGATCCTTGGTGTAACTCTCCTTTGGTATGGTGTCCCAGACTGAGGTGAGGTTCTGTGGAAAGGTAATGGATAGCTAGTATTTTACCTGTTGTAGTTAGTTCTAGAACTAAAGCAGATAGCCACTGTTTTAAAACAATTCCAGTTACTAAAATATTGCAGTTTGTGTGGTAACATTTTTTAAATACTTTACATTGTTTTTAATGTTTCAGTCTACATTGCACAAAACTGCATGGTTGCTTTGGAAGCAAAAATAATGGCAGCAGGAGGAAGTCGTAGCATTTATCGTGTAGCCTGGTGTACTTAATGTAGGACAAACAAAACATTTCTTAAAATAACTATCAGAATAACCGTATTATGTGAAATTGACAGCAATTTACAAAACAATGGTCACATAAAATGCCTTGAAATTTAGACTTGTTTTAAGATTACAGTAATCCATTTTGACCTTGGTTCTGTTCATATTAATTCATCAACTGGGTCAGAGGAAACTATTTTATAT